GTCTCCCCAGGTCCCAGCACTCCCCTCCCCAACCCAGGCTTCCACCTGGAGTCACCTTGGCCCCCTGGGAAGCCAATTAGGCCCCCAGTTTCCCTTCCACAAATAGTTATTGAGCACCTACTCTGGGATTAATATGATTAATAACGCCCTCAATCTCCCAGGTGCTGATTCAGCCAGGAGCTTAGGGAGGGGAGGTCACTTTATAAGGGCCTGGGGGGGTCAGGACCTGGAGTTGTCCAGCCGGAGCCCTGTGTGGCCAAGCTCAGGCCCCAGCAGCATTCTTGGGTCAGAGCTGCCCACGGGGCCGCCACAGGGACCTCAGCCATGAACGGCACGGAGGGCCCCAACTTCTACGTGCCCTTCTCCAACAAGACGGGCGTGGTGCGCAGCCCCTTCGAGTACCCGCAGTACTACCTGGCCGAGCCCTGGCAGTTCTCCATGCTGGCTGCCTACATGTTTCTGCTGATCGTGCTCGGATTCCCCATCAACTTCCTCACGCTCTATGTCACCGTCCAGCACAAGAAGCTGCGCACGCCTCTCAACTACATCCTGCTCAACCTGGCCGTGGCCAACCTCTTCATGGTCTTTGGAGGCTTCACCACCACCCTCTACACCTCTATGCATGGATACTTTGTCTTCGGGGCCACGGGCTGCAATCTGGAGGGCTTCTTTGCCACGCTGGGCGGTATGAGTTGTGGTGTGGACGGGCAGGGGGTGCAGGAGCCAGGGGAATGGAGGTGTCTGGGGACAGTTCCAGGCTTAGGGATGAGGGTTATGAGGCCTCCTGCCCTCTGCAATCATTGGCATCATCTAAAGTTCTTGCTTAATCAACGAACACTTTGGTGATGATGAGCTAGGCACTGTTTAATCTCACTTGGAGTGGTGCCATTGTCTTGCTTTACAGCAAGGAAACAGTCTGAGAAGTCCAGGGCCTTGAGGGGTCACGTCTCGGCAGCAGTCACTTTGCAGCAGGGGCAAAGCTGTGTTTCAAGCCCACTTCTGTGGGCCCTGCAAGCACATTCAGTTCCCGTCAGAACAGATGCCCTGGGTCAGACCCATGCCAGGCACTGGGGAGAGAGATGGACAAGATAGGCCCTGTGCTCAGGGCTCCCCGCTCAGGGTGGGGCGCAGATTCTCAGTCCTCCAGCCATTGGGCTTTACCTGCGCTGAGCCATGGGCTGAGTCCCTCCCCAGCCCACTTCCTGCCTCTGCCACGCATGAATGCTTTTTGTGTTGAGGAGCTCATCTGCTTCGGACAAACCCTCCCATAGGGAGGCATGAGACCTGTGTGGTCTGTAGCTTTGGAAGATGCTTTTAAATGTTTCTGTGATTGGAAAACCCACAGGAATGCTGCAGAGACAATAGAGCCCACTTAGCTGATGAGAAAACTGAGGCATGGAGAGGGGAAGACTCATTTCAGGATGTGCAGGGCAGTGACCAGACCCTAGGTCTCCTGGCTCAGATCCAGGAACTTCCCTGGCCCTGCCCCTGCCCCCAGAACATAACACCAACCACAAGGACTGCTCTGCTGCCTGCCTTCTCTAACCCTATTGTGTCCAGGCGCTGCCTCAGCCCTATTCCCCGGAATCTCTGGCTATCACTGGGTGTCAACTTCAGTGACCACAGATCGTTCCGTCTCAGGCCAGAAGGCAGGGGCAAGGCAGGCAGACACTTCTCTGCAGGGTCAGTCCCAATTTACAACCATGGTCCTGGAATAATTACTAGTGTTCCCTTTCACTCTCAGAAATGGCCCAGTTTGGTTGATAAATTCTATGACCCTCCTCCCTGAATTTCTGTGCTGATGTGCAGCACGATGTCTGAACTCCATCATTATTTCCTCCTTGGTCCTCTGAGCAAACATTATTCATCTTCCTGGCTCCTGAGGGAGGGTCGCACATGCCCAGGTTATTTTGTTTCCCTAGAGGGGAGGGGCCACTGCTCAGGAGGGAGGGAGGACTTCCAACTCTGGTTCCCCTGCCTCAGCGACACCTCTCAACAGGGACTCGGCCTGTTGCCCCAGGAAGGACACAGTCTCCTGTAAAAACTCCCTGCAGGGCTTCCAGTCCACCCCTGATCCCTAATCTGATCTCGGTGTCCCTCCTGAACCCAGAGCTCTAACTGAACTAAACTAAGAGTTACTCCACTCCCCCGGCAGACCAGTCCCTCTGCCTGCACCCCTTCCCAATTCTCGATGTCTAACCCCGCTCCACCCTGAGGCCTCACGCCAGGCCTACCCCAGGTTGCCTTCCTAGCTACCTCCTTAGATAGACAGTGGAGCCCAGGCAAGAAGCATGCTGACCGACAGCTGACTGCCTTGCAGGTGAAATCGCCCTGTGGTCCCTGGTGGTCCTGGCCATCGAGCGGTACGTGGTGGTCTGCAAGCCCATGAGCAACTTCCGCTTTGGGGAGAACCACGCCATCATGGGCCTCGCCTTCACGTGGGTCATGGCACTGGCCTGCGCTGCACCCCCACTAGCCGGCTGGTCCAGGTAATGGCACTGGGCAGAAGGGATGGGTCTCCAGGGGTCTTCTTATGGTCCCCCAGACACACTCAACCCTGGGGCTGTCTGGTTCCAGGCACTGAGCTGGTAACTTTTCTGGGTTGGGGTTTAGGCAGGGGAAGAAAGGATCAGACCCTAATGTTCCTATGGGGCTGGTCCCACCTCCTGAGTCCCCATCTCAAGGAGAATCCAAAAAGGCCAACCCTTCACCTTGGCTGTGCCCCTAATCCTCCACTAAGCCAGGGCCAGATTCCAATCCTCTTTGGTCCAGTGCCCTGTGGGCAGCTTCCTTTGACCTTGGGCCTCAGCACCTGGGGAGACTGAACCTTCCTAGTGCAGGTGGTGACACTGTAGCCCCTGGGACCCAGGTCCTGTGCAGCCTGCAGGTCATTGTCTCCAAATGGGGCTGAGATGAGAGATGTGGAAAAGCGGAGGCAGTTTGGGAAACTTGACGGGTGACTTTGAGTGTCCAGAGGCTTCGTGTTCTCTGCTTCCAGGAAATTCCCTCTCTTCCCTTTCCTCCTCAGTCTCTATAAAATAAACTCCCTGCAGGGCTCCCAGTCCAATCATGACCCCTAATCTGAGGTCATTTTCTGCCCATTGCTGAATTCCATCCCATACCCCCCCCACCCCCCCACCTCCAGCCTCTTTCTCTGTCTGGTCCAGTTACATCCTCATAAGCACAGCCAACAGACACACCATGTTTTCTGAGGTCGGTGCAATATCACCGTCCTCTAGGATCACTGAAAAAAATTGTAACCACATGCCCTGAGGCCTCTCATTCCCCCTCTCCTCTTTTGTGCAAATATCTCTTAGTTACCCTGTACGCCCATCTTTGGGCTGGCAAATACTCTCATCCTGTTATTCAGTAAGACCCCGGGTTGTACTATCTCAAATACAGAGGTGACGAGTATTTCCCTCCCCCCCGCACCAACCTCTGCCTTGCATAGCCTGAGGCCTGGCTCCACTGCCATGGGGCGGCGGGCCGGGGAGAAACCCTGCACAGGCCAGTGGTATGCACAAGCCAGGGGAGAGACGGGCAGGACTGGGTCGTGTCCCAGTAACACAGCCACCAAACAAACAGTGAAACAACACTGTTTTCACACGGCGCATTTGAGTCCCTTCTCTCAATTGATTTGATTCTCAGTCTCACAGCCAAGCAGACATTTTATCTCCATTTTACAGAGGGAAAGTGAGGCCCAGAGCAAGGCCAGCCACACGGCAGGTCACTCCAGTCAGCCGGCGCCTGTTCCCACGTTCCTCATATGTGGGTCTCCATTATGCCCCCTCCTGTCCCGTTCTCCACCGGCACCAGGTACATCCCAGAGGGCATGCAGTGCTCGTGTGGGATTGACTACTACACGCTCAAACCGGAGGTCAACAACGAGTCCTTCGTCATCTACATGTTCGTGGTCCACTTCACCATCCCCATGATTGTCATCATCTTCTGCTACGGACAGCTGGTCTTCACAGTGAAGGAGGTATGGTCCTGTGCTGGGTGCTGGGGACACACGCACTGAATGGGTGGAGCCCGGCCCCTGGCCCCGAGTTGCTGCAGTCTGCACACCAGGCCCTGTGTCCCTGCAGGCGGCTGCCCAGCAGCAGGAGTCAGCCACCACCCAGAAGGCCGAGAAGGAAGTCACGCGCATGGTCATCATCATGGTCGTTGCGTTCCTGATCTGTTGGCTGCCCTACGCCAGCGTGGCATTCTACATCTTTACCCACCAGGGCTCTAACTTTGGCCCTATCTTCATGACCATCCCGGCATTCTTCGCCAAGTCATCCTCCATCTACAACCCGGTCATCTATATCATGATGAACAAGCAGGTGCCAGGTGGCGGGGCAGGCGGGTCCAGGTCCCCAAGCCGCAGGCACTGCCTGTGGAAGACAAGCCACATCCTTGACTGGGTCTCAGTCTTCCCATCTGCAAAATTGGACTGGGGGTTGGTCTCCCTCAGGGCATCAGAGGCATCTAGGAGGAATGCAGATTCCGGGCCCCGCCCAGACCTGCATTTCTAACAAGTCCTCTGGGTGATTCTGGGGCTGGCTCAAGTCAGATGGTTCTGAAGGCCCACTTTAACAGTAAAGTGGTCAACATCCCAAGCCTGAGAATGGGATGGTACCAGTCTCCATCAAGGAGAAAAAAGAGCTAAAAAGTCTTATTCTGACGGATAAAAGGATAAAGCAGTCCTTAACATAGACCAGTGGTTTCTCTGCAGAATCCATGATCCAGTGGGGAAAATGTGCTCTCGAGTCAGGCATATTGGATCCAAATCCCAGCTCTGCTACTTTCTAGCAGTGTGACCTTGGGCAATGCATCACTTCCATTCTCTGGGCCCAGGTTTTCCATCCATAGAAGTGGCAAAATCCCAAACTCTTGAGTTAAATGAGATAATTTACAGACTTCCCTTGGCACACAGAGGGCATCACGGAATGTCATTAGTGACAAACCCCTTGCGTTTAGTCCCGGGCATCACTGGGTGGGGTCACATATGTTTAGTAAATTCCCTCCAGAGAGCCAGATCTGACCTGGGAGTGAAGGCTGTGAGGGGCAGAGCGGGAAGGGGTTATAGGCAAATCTTGCCAACCACACCAGTTTGCTACACACACTTTGAGTGGACCCTGACTCTGACTCATGCCCCTTGCCTTCCAGTTCCGGAACTGCATGCTCACCACTCTCTGCTGTGGCAAGAACCCACTGGGTGATGACGAAGCATCCACCACTGCCTCCAAGACGGAGACCAGCCAGGTGGCACCGGCCTAAGCCCTGCCAAGGACTCGCCGCCGACTGTAGGAGTCTCCCGTCCCCTAACACCCACCCTCAGCAACAGCTGCCCGCCAGGATCTGTGCCTGTCAGACCAGGTCTCACAGGCTCCATGAGTTAAAAAAAAAATTACCGAGGCTCTCCACCCCTCACGAGGACGGCTTGATCTGGAGTCCTGAGTTCCCAGGGCCAGTGGGATCTGCACCCTCCTTCCCACAACTCCTCTCTCAGGAACAGAAGAACTCTTGCTGTCTGGAAACGTGTCCCAGCTTAGGGATAAGTATCTAGCAGAGTGGGGCACACAGTAGGTGCTAAATAAACGCTAGATGGAGGGAGGAAGGACTGAATGGGGGAATGAATGAAGAGCTGGACGGGCAGGGAGAGCATATCTAGCTTCTAGAAACCGCCTCAGCAGCAGCAGTTCCATGGCTGACGACCTTGAGCAATTGTTTTCCTCCCTGGGCCTCACCTGAGTCCCTGGTCCTGGCTGCTGTGAAGATCAAATGAGGGGTGTGTGTGTGTGTGTGTGTGTGTGTGTGTGTGTGTGTGTGTGAAAACACTTTGTAAAGGAGCTGTACAGATTATAGTTAATGTTATGAATAACATCAATTGTTGTAATTAATTAATTGCTATTATCATCTCCTCTTCATAGTGACCGTTTTGAGATTGGACAGACCCCCAGTATCCAGCCTCAGCAGGTTTTGTTTTGTTTTTTAAATTAGCCAGGCGTCAAGGCCAGACCAGATCTGGGGGTTGGGCTGCAGGTAGGGACAGTTGAGTGAATGTAGGATGCAGTCATCAGACCTGACGAAACAACATCGGACTGGAGTCTGGGACCAAGGTCTGGAGTCTCACCTCTGGCCTGGAGCCCCAGCCCAGTGCCTCCCCTCCCCAGTGCAGCCTGTGAAGAGACAGGCCTTTCTCTCAGCTCTGGAAACCATGTGCTCTCCTACCCAGCACTCGGGCCACGGCATATCTGGGCCAGGATGGAGCTTCTAGAAGCCATGCTCACCTGCCTACATTTAATAAAGAGCTGAGTCTCCAATGTCACCCTTGTCATTAAGCATAGAAACAAAGAGTGGGAAATTCATTTGGGCCCACCTTCCCTGGGGACGTTCACAGGTCCCAACTCCCTTGCTGATGAGCCCATCTTTGGCAGCTCCAGTCCATTCTTCATTCTGGAGAGTCCTTGCTGTGAAGCTGGGCATCAGAATTGAGCTGCCTCAGTAACTGACCCCTCCTTCTTCACATAACCAGAGCTGGAAGCTCTAGCTCTCCCCAACCCTGCCTGGAGACTAAGGCAAATTGGGGCATTAAAAGCTCAGCTCCTGTACTTGGTGTTAATGGTGGTGGTTTTTTCTGCAGGATGGATTGAAACTGGGCAGCATCCACCTGGTCCCTGACCCTGAATGCCTGGATTGGGCAATCAGCAGAGCCTCCTGGGGTGTGGGGGCTGGGGGAGGAGGGTGGAGGCAAGCACACAAATGGGAAAAATCCCAACTTTGGAGTCACAGAGACTCAGGTGACCTGTGAAACTGCAAGCAAGTTTTGTGACCTCTCTGAGCCTCTTTATCTGCAAAAGAGAATGTTAAAACAGACCTTGAGGGGATTAGATGACATAATAGACTACAGTGGCCAGTCTGCTCTGTGGGAGACTATAGACATTACCGGGGCCTCAGCTCAGAGTTCACCTTGCTGGGCACTCCATCTGCAAGGGAAACAGGATGGAGGTATAGCTCCCAGGAGTTACCCTCATCCTCAAGGTGGGAAAGGGTGGCAGGGGCCTGAGATGGAGAGATCCCTAGTGCCATGGTGGGGCTGGGGCAGGTAATAGTTGAGACCTCTATCCTTGTCCCTCTTTTCTCTGTCTCCTTGGGTGATGTCAGTCAGGATTCTTTTGGCTGCAAGTGACCAGAAATTCCCATTAGGGCTGAAAGTAAAGGTAAAAATTATTGGTTCCCATACATGAAAAGCCCAGGGCTTCAGGAACAGCTGCAGACAGTTGCTCAGATTATGTTATCGGGCTTCTGTGTCTCTTCTGGCTACACTTTTCTCTGTGTTGGCTGACTGTTCCAAGAGGTGGGCAGAAATGGCAGCCAGTTGTTTCAGGCCCAGCAAGCCCTGCAGAAAGTGAGCTTCTCTTTCCTATCAGTTCCAGCAAATTTCCCAGGTAAGGCACTCATTGGCCAAGCTTAGGTCACCTGATTGCCCCTGCAGCCCAATATTAACCCCACATAAACCAGATGGTCTGAGAGAGGAGACAGAAAGGTGCCCAAAGGAAACCTGGGGGTGTGGTATCAGAAGGAAGAGGGTGGGAGGCAGGGTGGGCAGAGACACAGAGGCCCAAAGAGGACGGACTCAAAGTCGCTGATATTTGGCTAGATCAGGCCCCCTTCCCACACTGGGACACAAGAAAGGAGGTTCCCATGGTTGGTCCTGCAGGTTACTCTCCAGGTCAGGTGCGGTGTTGGGCCAGGCATGGCAGTGGGAGGGACAGTGGCATTTCAGCTGCCCTGCCTTGCAGGCTGCCCTGTCCCCTTACTCCCCCACCCCACTTCACTTATTCTGAAGAGTGGTATGTTTGTCTCAGCCTCACATCCAGAGGAAAAAATTACTCTAAAACCAGAACATTCTGTGGTTTTTCCTGGTAGACAGGAAAGCCTCTTTATTTCTTTAATTTACAACTGATTTGACAGCTATGTATGGGGCACTTGCATAGGAAGGCAAAGAGCTGCTGACAGCCTGAGAGGAGGATATTATCCACTTCATCTCTAGGCTCCTTGCAGCCCACAGGTTTATGGATCGCCTGTTGTATACAATCATGTCTCCACTCAACCCAATCTAAGGAAGCGGATCCTAGGCCAGGACGTGCCAGGGGCTCCAGAGATGGGTTGGAGGGACCAAGTCTCTGGGCTGTGACCTGGCCAGCCTCAGGCCACAGAGCCCTCTCGTCTGTGATCCTGCCTCCAGGAGGAGATTGTGTGAACCCCACCCCAGCCCCCGAGGCATCAGGGCCTAATGGCAGCCGGTCCCCCTGTCCCCAGTAGAGATGTGCATTCCCGACACCCCAAGGTTCCCCCAGGGAGATGGTGGGTGTCCTTTCCAGCAGTGCGACTTTGGACCAAGTCTCTGAACCTCACTAGGCCTCAGGTCCCTCAGCTTTAAAGGGGAGAATTGTCCCAGTTGGTAGATTTGTCTAAAGGGACAAATGAAATGATCGATATAAAAGATGCAGTGCATAGTAGACATTCAATACATGTGAGTTCCCTTCCCAGAGACGTAAACCAAGTTCAAAGGAGCAGCCCCTGCAGTGGTCGAGATAGGCATTGAAGAGATTAAAATAACGGAGGAGTCTCAGGAACAGGGGAAGGAAGAGCTAACTCCTCCAATACTCATTCCCTTCCTTTCTTTTAGTAATGTCACCCCAAGTTCTAGCTGGCACCTTGCCACCCAGCACCAGGCTGCATCTCCCAGCTTCCCTTGCCCTGCAGTGGCATGACATCAAGGTCTGGCCAATGGAGTATAATCAGAAGTGATGTTTGCAATCTCTGGGTCTCACATTTCAGAGAATTGAGGCGCCCTCCACTTCCTTCCTCCTTTCCTGTCTGAAGGTAGGAGTGTGGTCATGATGACCAGAGTGGCAGCAGCTCTCTTGGATCAGGAGGTAGAATCTGTGGGCCGAGACCAACAGAGCCACAAGGAAAGGTCTCCCAGCTGCCCTACCAGCCCCGCACAGTGTATTCTCGAGGAGTTTTGTGAGTAATGGTCTCACGGCTTCTGGTCTGAGCCACTGTTACTTTGGAGTCACAGCTGGTTTCCTAACTGACACAGCTTCCAGGTTGCAGCTCAGGGTCTGGACTCAGGGAGATCTGGCGCAGGGCCTCTCTGAACTTTGCTTCTTCATGTGTAAATAAAGTAGTGGCTATAAAATATTAACATAGGTATTGAACCTGGCAGCTACTTCTATTTCTACCCTGCCCTCTATGCAGTTATTGACCTAAAGTCACAGATATCCTGACGCTACAGAATCTGGAGTTACACAAAACAGACACCCTATCAGTACTTCAGAAAGTTGAGAGCTGTCGCCTTCGGAACTATCAGCTCTCGGGCAGGTGGGCCCTGTTCGAGGCTGCAAGATGCTAAAAGATATTTTCGGCAAAACTCAAACTCCATACGAGCCTCCGTGAAAGAGTCACATGAGCACGCCAAGCCGCCGCTCCTCTCGGGCAGGCTCGTCCTCACAGTGACCGTTTCCCTGTAAAAGGCAGTCCTCAGGAGAATTTTTAGAGCACGCAGCACATTTTAGAACTTCTTCCCTCCAAATGCAAACCTCTATCCTGGCACAGCCCGGGAGCAGGGTTTCGGGTTAAGCTTGTGGGAAGGTTTGTATTGCTGAGTCTTTTTCTATTTCTCAATTCTTGGAAATTCCCCACAACGTGATCAAAACTGCTGCCCCCGTTTGCGCCAGCTTCCATATGCCCCCTTGCCTCGTATCTTCTCCTGCTCTGGCATGGTTCCCACACCTGGTTTTCAGGCCTTCCTGCACTGAGCCAAACTGGGCCTGACACCAGGGCTTCTACAGAAATGGGTGCTGAGCACCTACTGTGTGCCAGGCGCTGTGCTAGGTACCAAGGATATCACCAGGAACAAGGCAGACATAGCCCTGTTCCCTCCCCTTCAATACTCCCCCCGGCCCACCACCACTAAGCTCAAGGGCTAGTGCAGGAGACAGGTAAGGCAGAGTTGTAACTCAGGATGCTGGAGGCTCCCAGACAGCAAGTTCGGGGACTGCTGGGCAACCAGAGGAGGGGCCCTTAACCTCCTAGGGAGTCGAGGAGGGCTTTTCTGAGGAAGTGGCATCTACACTGAGACCAAAAGGATGAGTAGGAATCAGTCCAGAGAAGGTAGGTGGGGGTAAGGAAGATTCTTCTAGGCAGATTGTATCAGTTAGCTTATGCTGCACGACAAACAGCTCCTAAGCCACATGGCGTAAAACAACACACCATGTATTGTTGCTTGCAACTCTGTGGGTCAGCTGGGCAGTTTTGCTTGTCCAGACCAAACTTGGTTGATCTCCACTAGGCAGATTCAAGTATGTGTGATTAATTGGAGGGTTGATTAGTTGGTTGGCTGACGCCTGGGTGATAGGTGTATGAGCTGCTCTGCATCCATCAAGCCGGTCAGGGCTTGTTCATATGCCAATGGGATTAGCATCACATCACTTCCTCCAAATTCTATTGGTTAAAGAAAGTCACAAAGGCCAGCACAGATTTAAGGAGTATGGGAGAACCTGTAAAGTTACATTGCAAATTATATGGGCAGGGCTGAAAAATTGGGGCATTTCTACATCAATCTAACACACACACAGAGGAAACAGAGCAAAGCCCTGATCTCAGCACCTAGCCCAAGAGCAACTGTGTGGCAGGTCTGTGGGGCAAGAAGGCTCCAAAAGCCAGACTGAAGGGTCAAACTTTCAGCCCGGGAGTGGGGAGCCATGAAGAGTGCTAGGCAGGGGGGTGACATCTGATTTCACTATAGGGCACTTTGATGACCACTGCTTCCTCCTGGCAATGGAGAGTCCCCGGGGAAATTCCAAAAATAGACTACAGGGAGAAAATTTAAAATCTGTTTTAAACCCATCCCTTCCAAATCCTATGCCCTCCTCAGAGGCAATCCCTGCTATTACCTTGGTATAAATTCTTTCAAACATTTTGTGCCTTCAACACACACACACACACACACACACACACACACAGAGTTCTGTCTTCTCAGAAGTGAAGAGTATATTCCTCAGATATATTCTGGCTCCTTCATTTTCACTGCTCTGTACTGCTCCACCATCCTCCTGATGAGCATTTAGGCTGCTTTGAAGTTTTGCTAAGATTGCAGTAAGCACCCTTGTATATAACGTAAGAATTTCTCTGATTTATACCTAGAGTGACACGGTGGGATGTGGCATGAGTCCATCTTTAGTTTTGTTAAATGCTACTAAATCGCTTTCTAAAGCGTCTCCGACTTACCCTCCTAATGGTTACGCCTTTCTGCATGTCCTGGGCACTCAGCATTGATAGACGTTTACATATTTGTTATTCCACTGGGTGAGAAATACCACCGCACCTCTGCTGTGACCCACCTCATCACTTTAAGTGGCTGAGAGTATTCTACAGTAAGGGAGCCATTTAGCCCAGCCCCAAGTGATTCACTTGGAAGTCAGTTCTATTTTACTTTTTTTCCCCCCTAACTAATGCACTTCTAGGGCAGAGAAGGGGAGTTGCTGGGCTTAAGGGAAAACCTTTTCAAAGTTGGCTGCACCCCAATGTACACCCCTGGCAGGGGCAGCGAGAGCCTCTGCATCCAGCTCCCTGCCTCTTTGCCAAGACTTTGTCTTCAATTTTTGTCATTTTTATGGGAAAATAATATCCCATCATTGTTTCAATTTGAATATTCCAGGATGCCAAGGAGGTTGAGGATATTTTTCTGTGTTTATAAACCGTTTTGGTGAATTGCCTATTTATATTTTTGTCCACTTTCCCAATGGCCATTGTTAATTTTTATAGACTTTTGCTAAGCGATTTTTTATTTTAAAATTGCTCTTTAATTCCATAAAGATTTCTTTCTATTTTTTAAATGTCTTTATTGATTTTAGAGAGAGGAAGGGAGAGGGGTAGAGAGATAGAAACGTCGATGAGAGTGAAACATCGATCGGCTGACTCCTGCATGCCCCCCGCCAGGGATGGAGCCCATAACCCAGACATGTGCCCTGACTGGGAATCGAACTGGTGGCCTCTTGGTTCATGGGTGGGCGATCAACCACTGAGCCACACCAGCTGGGGAAAGACTTCTTTCTTAAAAAATAAAGGCCCTTGCCGGTTGCTCAGTGGTTAGAGCATTGGCCCACGGACTGAAGGGTCTTGGGTTCAATTCTGTACTTTGGTCCTTGCCCCGTCAGGATGTGTGCAGGAGGCAACCAATTGCTGTGTCTCTCTCACATCATTGTTTCTCTCTTTGTCTCCTCCCCCCTTACACTCTCTCAAAATAAAATAAATTTTAAAAATAAGAGTGGCCACAGGTTGATCTAGGTGTGTCTGCTTCAGGCAAACCCCATTCGGCCTCCAACTGCCATTTCTTGAGAAACCGAGGCAAACAGCAGCCAGGGAACAGGGTTGACACCTGGGCGGCAGGATTGGAGGCCCCGCCTACACAACCCAGCTGTGCCCAATTCCCCATCAGCAGCTCCAGCCCCTGGTGGGCAGAGATCAGGAGGGAACAAGGGTCTCAGCCCCATCATTTCACCAGGGGGGCTGACACTCAGAGAAGCCAATAGCTCCTCCAAGTTCACACAGGGGTGGATGACTAAGCTGGGGTGTCAGTGCCCCCGGCAGGGTTACAGTGCCCCATCCTAGCCCTCCTGCCCCATCAGGATCTCAGAGCCTCCCAGCCCAATCAGGGGCTAATTGGAGTCACGGGGCCAGGCGGCATGGTATATAAGACAAGCAGGCTGGCTGGCAGCCTCATCTCTGCGTCCGTGTCAGCTTGCAATGGCTCCCGGGAGCTTGGCCTCCGGTGACACCTTGATCTCCTCGGCCCTCGCTAACCTCCATGACCTCCACCTCCGGATGGTCTGAGACTCTCAAGCCAGGTGAGCAAAGGGAGGCAGCTCCTCCCTCTTTCCCCGGGTCCTGGGTGTCCCAGACCGTCTCCTCCCCCCCCCCCCCTCCAGCCTGGCCCCAGCACCCACCATAGAGGCGCTGAGTTCAACTGCCCCTTTGCCAGATGCCAGCGGTGGCAGGGCCAGGCAGGACCTGAGAGCTGAGGCTGCCGGGCTCAGGGGAAGCGGGCAGAGCAGGCCTCCCCAGCTGGAGCCCATTTCTTTTCAGGGGAGCGCTGGTAGCCCCCTGCAGCTAGTTGAAGGGACCAGAGCAGCAAGTGTTTGATGCAGGGCTGGGCTTCGGATTTAGGGCTGCATCTCAATTTCCAATAAACAACGCTTCAGGGTTTCTCAGGTACCGGGTCCACTGAGACAGACCTAGTTCATTCCCTACAGTAGCTCCCAGTCTGACGGGCAAACCTGCCTCGTTAATAGATGCCATCTGATGATGTGGCATGGGTATTAATTGTGGAACCCGGAGGGCTGTGGGAGCCCAGGGAAGTCGCCTAACTCACGCTGAGAGGGCAGGGAAGGTTTCCTGGAGGAGGTGACCCCCGAAGGGAGGATTAATCTCACCCTGAGCAGAGAGGGTGGGGCAGGGGAATCTTTCCTTTGGAGGAGAGGGGGTTCCAGGTGCCTCGAGAGCACAGAGAAGAGCTGCTCAGTCTGGCTGGGAAGTCAGGGCAGGTGTTCAAATCACAGTGCCGTTCGAGCCTTAAAGGATGAGTGAAAGCTGCCTGGGTGACTAAGGAGGAAGGCCACCCCCACAGAAGGAACAGCATAGGCAAAGGCCCGGAGGTGGGAGTGCTGGCGGAGCATTTGGGGAGCTGCAAGTTTTCCCTCTGGCTAGGGACAGAGTTGGGGAGAACACCTGTGAGGGTGGGTGGGGCCAATCAGACTGGGCCTCCCAGGCTGTGGTCAGGTGTGTCAGCCCTTAGACTGAAGGTAATGTGCAGGTGAGGAATGTGAGATGCAGTGAGGAGAATGGATTGGAAGGGAAATAAGGCAGCAGGAAGGAGGCAAGGGCCCTGGGGTGGGGGTGAGGGGTGAGGGAGAAGAGAGGCCAGAATGGAGGGGGAGAAGCCTAGGGGGAGGGGTGGAGTGGGTATGGTGGTGAAGGGGAGGGGAGGTCCAGGGTGTCCCCTGGGTTCTGGTTGTGTGTCTGGGAGGTATGGGGGGAGGTGCCGTTCCAGGAGGGAACCGTCGAGGGTAGGTGTGGGGCAGGTGTGATTCTGGACACTGCAGTATTGAATAGCTGCCAAATGAGGAGCTGAATCCCGCTGGAGGTCTGGGGAGGGAGGAGACTCGGCGTGGCTCCCTGGGCCCGGGAGGGCGTGGTTTGGAAGAGGGGGAGAGGGGACACTAAGGTATGTGTCAGCCCAGGCCAGGCTGAGGACCCCGTTGGAAACCGTTGAACACTGCAGCTGGGAGGGCTCCGGCCTCCTTAAAGGCCCCCATTCCCGCTGTCCAGATGGGAAGACTGAAGCCCGGGGAGGAGGGTAAAACTCCCAGGTCTGGGGTGACTGACCCAGGACTCCACCAATTCACAGGCTTTGCCCCAAAATGAATATTCCCAGACACTGGGCTCTTCCTGGCCAGGAGACAGCAGTGTTCCAAATGGATTAGGTCTCTACAATTTTGCTCAAGGTCTTGAGTTTTTTGGGTGTTTTTATTTTTCTACTTTAAAATGTGTTTTAAAATATATATTTTAGCCAGTTGATTCCTTTCTGAGGTCTTTAATTTTTGCAAGTGGATTAGAAAGCAGCATTTCTAATCACCTAATATTTAAATCAGATTTTCTATTTAAACTTTTAAAAATTATTGTTTAAAGTGTTACTTATGTCTCCTTTTCCCCCAATTGACCCCCCTATTTAAACCACTGTTACTACTGACAACTTCTCACACTTTCTCCCTGCTCAGCCCTTGATGCTACTCTCTTTTTGCAGCTTTTCTTTATAAAAGCTTATTGAGATATGTCAACGATTCACACAGCATACAGTTCCCCCATTTAAAGTGTGCAATGGCTTTTAGTACAGGCACAGCCGTGGGTCCATTTCCACAGTCGATTTTAGAACATTTTCATCACCTTAAAAGAAAACCTGCAGTCACTCCCATCCCCACCCCCACACCCCAGCCCCTGGCAATCCCTAATCTACGTTCTGTTCCTATGATTTGCCTGTTCAGAACAGCTCACATACATGAAATGATACACAGTGGTTTTTGTGTGACTGACTTCTTTCACTCAGCATAGTGTTTTCAAGGCAGCACTTGGCTCCTTCTTTTGGCTGGGTGGCCTTCCATTTTATTGCTATCACATTTTGTTTATCCACCCGTTAGTTTATGGACATATGCGTTGTTTCTACTTTTGTGCGATTATAAATAACACTGCTGTGAACATTGTGTGTAAAAATGTTTGTGTGGACATATGTTTTCATTTCTCTCGGGTATATATTTAGCAGTGGAGTTCTTTTGTAACTTTTTATTATGAAAACTTTCAAATGAACATAAAAGTAGATGGAGTGGTACAGTGACGCCCACCCCCACCCCACCTCCAGCACCCATCATCCAACCTCAGCAGTCATTAGTGATGGCTACTCTTGTTTCGTGTACTGGGCTATTTCGAGGCCAGTGCCAGAGCTACCATTTCATTTGTAAACACCAGTATCTTTAAAAAAATAAGAACCTCTTACAAGATAATTCTAAAACCATTAGCAGACCCGAAACATATCATCCTTAACATCATCAGATATTCTGGTATTCACGTGTAGCTAGTGCCTGCCTCCCCCCCCCCCCCCC